CCCCCAGGGCTGGGCCGACTGCGCCGGGAACGGGGCCCTGCGTGGCACGCTGGGGTGCGGCACCAGCCTGGGGGACAAGGGACAGGGCCAGGGGGCTGTGGTTGCACCCCCACTGCCAGCCTGGACCCCCCAGGCTTTCCCTGCCCAGGCAGCTGCTCCTGGACCCCCGTGCCCTGTGCTGGGGAGTCATGACGCCCCTCTTCCTCCCAGACCCCCCCAGCCAGGACCCCAATGCCCCGCGCAGAGAGAAGTGAAGACGCCCGGGGTCAGCACTCGCACCCCGGGCTGATGGGGCGACCCCAAGAAAGAGCAAAGCTCCTGGGCCGTGCCTCAGTTTCCCTGCTCTGGAGGCCAGGAGCTCATGCCCCGTGTCCAACTCCCCCGTGCCTGTTGCTCACCCTGCGGGGAAGTCGGCAGCCGGCTCAGGGGAGCTTCAGCCTTTCTTGTGCCTCCCGGGATCAGCTAAAACCCCAGAGATCAGGGAGCCCGGAGGGGCAGGCGCGGGCCAGATGGCCCCGTGCCCCGGGGACACCACTGTCCCCCCGGCAGCTGCCCGAGCCCAGGGAAAGGGCAGGCGGGATGGGGAAGGGGCAGGAGCACGTGCCCCCCAGCTGCCCCCGCGGGGCGACCGGCCCTACCTCTCCTCAGGCGCAGGGTCCCGGAGCCGCGGGATGCGCTCCATCTCCCGGGAGATCACGTACTGGGTGATGTCATCCTGCCACGACAGCCCTGCCATGGACAGGAGTCAATCAGACCTGGCTACATGGGGGGACCCCCCCCAACTGCCCCCACCAAGACCCCAATCCCAGCCCCACCCCAACCAACCTCAGCAGCCAGCAGGACCGTGCCCTGCCTGCAGCGTGGGCCCCCAAACCCTTGGCCCTTGACCCCGCACTCACCTTGCCCCATGAGGTGACGCAGGATGTCCTGCAGGCGCCGGAGCACAGCCGAGGTGACCTGGAAGTGGGGGGGGTCGGGCCCCGCGCCCACCTGGCACTGCCCGAACAGCCCGTCTGCAAGCACAGCCGGCGCGGGAGAGGTTGGGGCTGACCAGGCCCCCGGGGGGGCTCCAGCTGCAGGGGCCGAGCCCCCGAGCCCCATGGTGCAGCACCGGGGTCTCCTCCCTGCCACCCTGGGGATCCCACCCCCCCGGCACGAGTCCCTGCAGGCCTTACCAGGCATGCAGACCTCCTGCGGGGAGCAGAGCCGGCGGTCGAACAGGCAGCCTGGACAGACGGACGAACAGGGGTCAGTGCTGCCCAGGTGGACGGGGCCACAGGGACCCCCAGGGCAGCCCCAGAGACACCAGCTCGGCCCTTGCCCTGGGGCAGGAGGCAGCAAGACGGGACCCCAGGGCTGCAGGCAGGCAGGGATCTGCCCCCTGCTCAGCCTGGCCCGGCCTTGGGGGTTTCCCCTCCCTCTGCAGGGGGGGCACGGCCTGGGCCTGGGCCTGGGCTCTCCCCAGCGCCCACCAACCCCCCAGCGGCAGCAGCAGGACGTTGGCAGCCGCGACCCCCCTGTATCCCGGGGGCCGGGGCGATGCCTGGGGCCATGTCGGGAGTGTCGCACGTAAGGCTGGTCTGGATGGGGCTGATCCTGCCCCAGGCTGGATGTGACCCCATGGCTCTATGAAAATGGGGTGCTGACACCCAGAGCTGGCCCCCGGCCCAGCTGCTCCACAACGGACACGGGGAAGGGGTCTGGTGGGTGGACCCCCCCTCGCTCGTCCATCTCCGTCAGCAGCAGCCAGTGACTCAGCCCAGGATGGAGATGGAGACGGAGCGGGGACAGGCCCAGCTCGAGGTGGGGAAAGCGGGGTGCTGGGGTCCCCATCGCTGCAGGGCGGGAGGACCCTGGGAGCCAGGATAGGGGCAGGCACGGGGCAGCCAAGCTGGGCCTGGCGCCCGGGGACCCACCAGCCCCAGGGGGGAGGCAGCAGGGTGGCCCCCCCAAGGCAGCCTTGGCTCCTTCCTGCCGGGAGGTGCAGCCCCGGCCCCGTGAGGGGTCAAGGGCCGGCAGCTCCTGTCCCTGCAGCCGCGGCCCCCCAGCTCCAGACAGCAGGAAACAGGCCGGGCCAGCCCCCCCCACCCCCCCCCCCTGCCACAACTGAGAAAACAACAGGAACAGAACATGGGACTGGACACCATCCAGAGGAAGTAACCACACAATGGACGACCACATCAACTACTTTAGGCAGAAAGCTAACAATGAAATTCTCAAAAAAGCCAGGACTACAACAACCTCTCTCTGTTAGAGAGAAAGCCATACAGCCCCTAAGATCCAACAACAAAACAGTAATCAATTAATGGACAAAGGTGGAGCTATAGTCTATGGGACCCCCGTTCGGGCTCCCCCGTGCTGCGCTCAAGGCTGAGCTCTGGCCACTGGACACCCCACACTGCGCTCGCCTGACCCCAGAGAAGAGACCCCCTGCCCCAGGGAGCAGCAGCCAGAGCCGGTACTCACCTGGCTCAGTACTGGGCTCCGGGTCGCCCCCCTGGCTGCCCCCACGGGGCGATGCGGCCCTACCCAGAGCCCCCCAGGACGGCGCGTGCCCATCACAGGAGGAGCAACCAGGGGCCTGTAGCAGGAGCATCTTGCCTGGGCCTGGCACCCGGGGAGGTGTCGCGTGCTGCACCCCAGGCTCCAGGAGTAGCCGACAGGCGCCCCAAGGGGCCTTGCAGAGCTCTCCCCCCCCCCGGCGACAGCCACTGGGGCCGGGGGGGGGG